GATGAAATGTTTGAAGAATGTTTATGTCAGGTTTGAACCCAGTAGCCCGGGGTATGACACGTATCCTAAGTCTAAACGGAACAATGATGAAATGTTTGAAGAATGTTTATGTCAGGTTTGAACCCAGTAGCCCGGGGTATGACACGTATCCTAAGTCTAAACGGAACAATGATGAAATGATCGATCTACGACGGAACCAGGAGGATCTTCAGCTGAGGTAATAACAACAACAAATTGTGTTCTTTTTTTAAATTTCGAAACTAATGATTCCACGGCGTTTTTTTATGCGGTATAATGTCGCGTTTCTTAAAGTGAATACGTCGTTTAATTAACCTTTCCCAAATAAGTGAATCATTATTATCATTATATATAAATTTGGCTTGTCTGTCTGTTTGTCTGTTTGCCTGTTTGTTTGTATCCAATAAACGTCAAAACGGCTGAACCGATCGGGCCCAAATTTTTTGTGGGATCTCGCGTTACCCCAGGTAAGGTTTATGAATGATGAAAATTAAAAAAAATTGTGTTGAAAAGCTTTTTATTTTTGTTAAAAAAATTTAAAATCTTGAAAATCCGCAAATATTTTTTATAAAATCCGCGAAAATTTTTTCTTTCTTTGTTTTTCAATGTTATAAATAAATAAATAAAATGGTCAACCATCATCCCATGGGAGTCAGGGTTAAGCTCTCATCAAACCGTACCACCATATTGGTTGGCAGGGCGTCACTGGTCCATGTTTCAATGAAACAAAGTGTGGAGGGCCAGGCAAGAGTCAAGTTAAAAGGCGGGCTACCTTATAACCGTTAGCACACTCTCCATTGCCTGACTGGTCCTGTCGGTACCAGCCAGTATAGAGGTTTAGAATTAAATAGCAGATAGGTATATATGGGGCAGGTAATAAATGTAAAATATGAAGATAAAAATAGATGGAGCCAAACCCATTACCTTTAATCGTCCTCATTTATACCAGCATGAACTGATGCCATCCAGGCCTCGATAAGGACAGCCAGCTTTCTGCCCCGGTTTAGCAAAACTCCCTTGTCAGCCCAGTCACCCCCAAGATAAGCCCTTAGAACTGCCTGATTACCATGAAGCCCTCTGGCCTTCGCTAAAGACACATACCTAGAGACACCTAGAGCCCTTCTTTGGGCCGCCACCGCTGGGCACCTTAGTACGACATGTGACTCACCTAGTTTTACCCGAACACCTAAGTCCTCACAGAATGGACATAGCTCATACATTAGCCCATACCTATTCCTATATCTATTTCCCAGCTGGGCATTACCACCTCGTATTTGACTCAACAATTTACTAGCCTTGGAATCATTTACATGAGCCTGTAAATGGAACCACTTCCACGGTTGGGGTAGCGCGCCCACTGAGGGATGAGACCTCTTTACCTTCATCACAAACTTAACTGCTCTGTCCGCCATAGCCTTAACTAGATCTTGTCTCCTTTCAAACTCTGAAATTACCCCAACATCCCTTTGAATGCTCATCCAAGACTTAACCCATGGGTCACATCTGTTGTCAAGGAGCTCGTCCAGTACCTTGATAAGGAATTCATTGTGTTTTGACCTGACTATTGACCAAACAAACAGAGCTTGACGTTTCTGAATCCTGTGTTCCATAGGCATAAGACCCGCATCCACCCATGTCATTACCCGTGAAGTAGCGGCAGGGACCTGAAGGATGAACCTTCCAACCATACACTGAATTCTCTCCAACTCTTTTATTGTACTCCTTTTAAATACGCACACCTCAGCACAGTACAAAATTGCCGGAATGGCACAGGATTCCCACAATCTCCGAGCCACAAGAGATCTGTCCAGCACCCCCCGCGACAAGTTCATTATTGCATAGGCCTGGTTTGTAGCTCTGCGGACCACCGTCCTCTCATACTCCCTAATCATACCCCTGCCTCGGACCTGCATTTGAACCCCCAAATATTTAGACACCAACACCTCCTCCACAGTGTCCTCCTCTACTTTCCATGACCCCACATACCCAGTATTGGTAAGGATGTATGTTTTAGAAGACGACAGCTTCATCTTCATGTCCGTGCAAAACTGTGACACAATTCTCAACAGTCTATTCATACCTCTCTTTGGGGATCTTGACAAAAGCAATAAGTCATCAGCAAAGAATAAGGCAGTTAACACCTTCTCCTTTAACTTCACCCCAAGCTTTGTGTCATCAAGAGCTACTCCTAATGATGCAACAAATAGAGCGAACAGCATAGGGGATAAACTACATCCCTGTTTCACCCCCTGTGTGAAATAGACAGGCTCTGATAACCCTCCCTTAAGACTCACCTTGACGCAATCATTGAAATACATGGCTCTAATTATGGCAACCACTTTACCTCCGAAACCTATACTCCTTAACTTGGTGTACAAAAGCTCTCTACATACTGAATCATACGCTTTGGCAATGTCACAGAAAGCAAGTGAAATCCGCTGCTTTTTCCTTTTGGCAGACCTCAAAGCGGCCAGGATGAGGAAAACACAATCTGATGTTGACCTGTTTTTCCTGAATCCGTATTGCACTGAACCATAGAACCCCTCTCTCTCACAGATTTCGTTCATGCGTTTGTGCAATATCTTGGTAAGCACACTCAAGATTACACTGGACACTGTTACAAGTGAATAATTTTGACTTCATCCCTAGGGAAACCTTAGCCAATTCCGTGGCCACTAAGTCCTTAAGCTTGTTGTACTCTGTCACTAGATTTCCATCTGGGTCCTTTAACGCGTCAAGTTTACCCTTATTCTTCTCTACCCTACGAGCAAATTTCCAGAAATTCTCATTACTGGACAAACCCTTCATCATCCGTTTTTTATAATCAGAGGCAGACAATTCAATCCTTTTACGCTTAATTTCTGCTCCAAAGTCATCACAAGTCGCAGCAGCTGCCACCAACCGCTCCTGATCCTCCTCAGACCATTCTAAGCTATTTAGAATCCTTGTGGCCTTTAAAACTGATAGTTTACGCTGCTCCCTGTCCGCGAGTCTTTTGGCCTGTCTCAACCTTTTAAGAGGCCTATTCTTATGCCTACGACCACCTAGCTGTACATTACCATATGCCTCAATATTAGAAGATACTAGTATTTCTTGGATCCTTCTTCCCATCTCATCCAATGTCAATCCCTCCCAGTATGTATCATCAATCGCCTCATCCATCAATCTCTTGGCAATGTTAACATCCCTGTCTTGCTTAAGGAACACCCCTTTATCTAATCGCGACCCTTCATCCACCATGGCTTTCTCTAAAGTTATGTCCACCCTTATCCCCACATGATCACTACCTGAGCACCATGTAACTTCTTCATCAATAACCATTCTCTTCACGTTAGGCACCATGTTTCGTGTAGCAAGGACATAGTCTAAAATAGAGCATGACTGTGGAGTAATTCTTGTGAACAAACCTGTACACACGTTTGCCTCCTTATTCATTAGCACTAGGTCGTTATTGTCAATAAAGTTTAGCAGCTTTATACCATTAGTATTTACCCCTTGCCTGTTCCCTGCAATGCCCCTTGGAGGAGCTCCAACATGAGCATTCATATCCCCCATAATCATACATTGGTAACCCTCTAATTCCAAAGTCCTTAGTTCCCCTTGTAATGCCTCATACAAACTATCATTCCAGGCCATAAAATCATTATTCGTCGTCACCTCAGCAGCCATATAAACCGAGCATAGCGCTACTTTACACCCATTATTATGTATTAAGATCCATATTCTCTCACTCCCAATCCACTCATTAGCTCCCTGAGACGGATCCCATGACACCCAATTCAATCTTTTCGAAGTTAGCACCATCTTTCCACCCCCTTTCTTAAGGCCAAACCCTCTCTCAATAAACATTGGATTCCATGGTTTGAACGCACTCATGTCCTCATTTCCCCCCCTTTTCAAATGAGTCTCATCCACAAACATAATATCTAAGTGACCTTTCTCCATTGTCTCCACTATATCCTGTTGCTTGCTATCATCTTTTATGCCATTGCAATTCCAGTAACCAACCCTAAGTTCAGTATGCCCCACACCGAGCTGACCTCTGCAACTAATCCTATGACTCTTAGCCCTTGACCCATCACGCTTACCCATGATTATCTTGGAATCAACTGGCGCTGACCCCCCACCCACCTCTGTAAAAAGATTCCCCACCAAAAGCAACAAAACCACTACACCTGGACACCTATCCCTCAGTGACATTTGTTGTAAATCTGAAAAATATGGATATTAATTAAATGATTAAATAAGGCTAACCTTTTACCAAACTTAGCTTTGACAACCTCCTTTAAATAAAGGTAAACTTTTTGCCAAACTTAGCTCTGACAACCTCCTTTAAATAAAGGTAAACTTTTTGCCAAACTTAGCTCTGACAACCTCCTTTAGGACAGGGTCACTGACCTTGTGGGCCAAAGCACTATGGTTAGGGTCACCACACTCCAAGCATGCCAGTCCCCTAAGTGGACACACTAGTTGTTTGTGGGAATCTTGGAAGCATATCAGACATTCCTTCCTTGACCTGCACTCCGCCAACGGGTGAGTGGCAACACGACAAAAGGAGCACCACACAGTCACACTCACCACCCTGTCTCCTACTAACTTATCCAACACCTTCTCCTGTTCTTTCCCCATCTTCTCTACTCTATCAACCTTTTCATGCAAGTTATTAACTGAAGTTACAAGTTCCCCCACCATCTTCCCTTGGTCTTTGAGTTTGGATATCACATCTTTCAAAACTATCAATACCGCATTATTGCTTGCAGCTCCCCGCAAGCCAGCCCTAGTTTCTGCAACTCTAGACAAGACCTCTTCATGAGGATCGTCATCTTCCTCTTCCGAGTCCTCACTAATCTGGACATCCCCCCCCTCTTGGCCCTGATCATGTACCCCTAGACCCCTTTGAGCTCTCTTCCTCAACACCCTTTTATGGCCCCTCAGCACATCATCAGTAGCTACATAAAACCGAGCAACCAGCTCATCCAGGACCTCTATCATTGACCATGCCCTTTTAGGCATGACCACCGTTGGTGCCCCCACTTTGACCGCCTTGTAGACATGGGCAATCTTGTGTTTTGCTTTTTCGTAATCCCCTGATACTGGTATGCAGTTAACCGAACAATTGCTCTTGGCCAGATACTGCCTGCAGCATGAACTCAATTAATCAAATAATACATTTTTTGGCTGCCATTGTAACAAAAAACCGCAACCCAGTATGAGCTAAATCAAAGGTGGTTTGGCCTTCTTATCTAATAAGATTCCCTGTACTAAATTTATTTAATGTCATATTTTCATGTACAAAAAACGTGCATATAAAGCTTTGTTTTTACAAGATCCTTCCCAAACAAATAAATGAAACATCTCTGCGTACTGACAGTAATACTCTGTTCTTCCCAGGAAAAGATTTAATAATCAATTAAAATAGTTTCCATAAAAATTATATTTATAGCAAAAAGTAGAGTCAAGCTGCTAGCCTAATCGTTTGTTCAGCTTCAGGCTCCTTCACCATGTAGAACATATCAACATCCACCCCATCACTTTTAATAATCAGGATTAGAGCCATTATGCCACACATCCACCATACAACTGAACCCCCCCCCCTCCCACCCAAAATTATACCCTGAAAGAAAAATGCCAACTCACTCGTCACAATTATGCTAGAACAACTTTAAGCGCGCTTGCCGCGCTGTATTTTGACAGGATTGGTAGAGGTTGCGTGATTGCCCTTTCAGAAACCAAATGTCGTCCTTCTTACCATTAACCAACAATTATAGTGTTACTTTAATTAACGCACAGAACAAAGATATGTGATCTCTACGGCTATAACGTAAATTAAATTAATGTACAGAACCATGGTTATAATGTAGATTTAATTATCGAAAAGAATCATAATAAGTAACACACAGCACCAAGAAATTTTAGCACTACAGCTATAATGCAAGTTTAATTCATGTACAGAACCATGATATAATGTAAATTTAATTATCGAAAAGAATCATATTCTTGGGCACTGAAACTTGTAACTGGCGCTACCGCCTGTCATCGTATTAGTTCATTTCTACACCAACCGAGCGCTACTAATAAAAGACGACTTTTCCAGACAGTTTTGTTTTCGATTATTGAAAACAATTAAATCATCGACGCAACTTGTATTAGAGATCACTATAGCGTAAATTTAGTTGTCGGAATGAAACATAATTTTGGACATCGATACATGTATTTCCCGCTACACCTTGTCATCATAAGAAATCTTTTCTACAAAACCTTAGCGCTGCTAATAAATGTCGTCTTCTCCAAACATATATTCAATTAGTGATATCATTAAATAAACCAATTTGATCGTCGCTTTCTATAACCAAATATAATTATAATAAATGTCGTCTTCTCCAAACATATATTCAATTAGTGATATCATTAAATAAACCAATTTGATCGTCGCTTTCTATAACCAAATATAATTACCGCATATTTCACCCGTAATAATCGATGTTAATGAAAACCGCGAAAAAGGAAAAAATATACCGCATATAAATTGTTCATTCCAAATTATAACAACAAAATCATGCCATTTAAATCCTGACCCTAATGCCATCATCATGAAACAATTATTCTACAGCTTTTTCACGTTTATTAATCATGTTATAGAAAAAGCGTAAAACTGAAACATATAATACATAAAAAACATGAGCCAAATCTTTTTATTGCTTATTAATTCCAGGGAGAAACCTTAGCCACATCTTTTTATTGCTTATTAATTCCAGGGAGACACATACACAGAGTTTCTTTTGACTCCGCGCCACTTAGGTCGGAACTCTCTATCCAGCCATCCCTCTTGATCAATACTCCTTGTTCTTCTTAGTTCCTCCTTGGACTCCAGGAAGTGACCGAAGCATTTGGACCCGTAATGGTTAATCAGAGCTAGCCTGAATTCCACTTTCACAGCTGAATGGAGCATAGATACATGACCAACCTCTTTACAGACATAGCATTTCATGTCCGATTTAAAATTGCAATAATCCATGGTTGTTATTTCCACATCTCATACACTCGGTCTTCTCTTCACAGTCTGCAAACCTATGATTGTCCTCCTGACAATACGGGCATGAATACTTCCTATCCTTTCTTTGGTCTGCTCCATCCACACGCTCCCCTCCCACTCCCGAGTCATTCACCATTAGTACTTCGTCAAACACACCCTTGCCCATGCCCGTCTTACACAAGTCCACCTTTTTCTCAATCCTGACCTGCCCACTCCTCAAATCCACGTCCACAGAGTCTAGTTTCCTCTCAAAACTCTCCTGTCTTTTAACAATCTTGTGAACCTTTGCATCCAACTGTTGAATATCACTAATAATTCGAGTTGTGTCATCCCAAACACGTTCAACTCCATTCAACAAAGACTTGAACTTCTCCATTATCATAACCACATCGGGGTCCGATTTGGGGGGCTCCATATCGGCATCTAACTCGGACATTCTCCTATCTCCTTGTCCCAAAGGAATAGATGGCCCATAAATCGAGACAGACTCATCCTTGCTGAATTTCATCCACTGGTCAACAATGTTCTTAAGCTCCTGAGGGACACTATCCTTGGCAAGCAATTTCTTATGCATTAACACCAGCAGAACTTCCTCTACACAATACTCCTTATTTACATCCAGTTTTTGGTTCTTCGGAATAGAGTTTACGAATGGTTCTAGATAAGCCACTCTATCAGCCTTGATTGGAGAGAGTTCATCCCATACTGCATCCATCCCTTCCCCTAAAGCCAGGCATTTGATTGTTTCCAAATCTTCCCTCTTTGCATCTACCACAAAACTTATTTTAAGGATTGGCCCAACCACGATTTTAAGCAAGAATATGTCCCCGGTGTTTCCATAGGGATCCATTCTCTCCCCTACCACTTAAAAGACTGACTAAAATTCTTACCCCCCCTCCCCTCCTGCCGTCCACTCCCCCGTCATTTCCTGTAAACGTGTACATAGTGTACAACAATGCCACACATGTAGTATTATGTACAATCAATTAATCGATAATATGCAAGAGCGGACAGTTCCACATCCCATTCTATCAATCACCTTATATATTTATGAACAGAGCATTTTGTAACTTTATATAAAATTAAATCAGAAACTAGATCAACATGAAACAGAGCATTCTGTAACCTTATATAAAATTAAATTAGAAACTAAATCATCATGAAACTGAGCATTCTGTAACCTTATATAAAATTAAATTAGAAACTAAATCATCATGAAACTGAGCATTCTGTAACCTTATATAAAATTAAATTAGAAACTAAATCATCATGAAACTGAGCATTCTGAAACCTTATATGAAATTAAATTAGAAACTAAATCATCAAGAAGACTGAGCATTCTATAACCCTATATAAAGCTAAATTAGAAACTAAATCATCATGGAACCTTATAAATAAATAACGAAATTTGAGAAAAAAAACATCATGAAGCCTTGCAAATAAGTAACGACTAAATTAGTAACTAGATCATCCTGAAAAAGAGCATTCTATAACCTTATATGGAATTAAAGTAGAAGCTAAATCATCAAGAAACTCAATAACTAAATAACGAAATTAGAAACTAAAACATCATGAAGCTGTGTAAGTAAATAAAGAAATTAGATACTAAAACATCATGAAACTGTGTAAGTAAATAAAGAAATAGAAACCCTATAAATCAATAATGTAATTAGAAACCAAATCATCATGAAACCCTATAATAAATAACGAAATTTAAAACTAAATCATCAAGAAACTCAATAAATAAATAACGAAATTAGAAACTACAACATCATGGAACTGTGTAAGTAAATAAAGAGATAGAAACCCTATAATCAATCATTAAATTAAAAACTAAATCATCATGAAACCCTATAATAAATAACGAAATTTAAAACTAAATCATCATGAAACCTTGTAAATACTAACATAATATAAACCCTATAATTAAATATTGAAAATAGAAACTAAATCATCGTCATATGAACAAATAAATTGAAACAAAATTAATTCATTTGGAAGTTCGTCAGATGTGAAAAATAAACATTTATTTATTACTTTAAACAATTAATTTTAATTACATTATATAAGGATTTGTCTGGTACGGGCCACTTACACCTGTTTTCCAATTCATAGGGATTTTCAGACAATCATGCTTTTGAAGATTTTGTCCTTTACTTCTAAAAAAACTTTACATTCATAGTTAAGGGTTCCATCGTACCCTGCATTCCCGGTTTCAGCAATCAGTTAAATTGCGTCTAGTTTATCCACCCCTCTTTTACTACAGTATTATATATTTGCGTGACACCTTTACCCAGCTTCAGCAATCATTGAACTTTTATATCTCTTATGCCCTTTAATGTTAAGACCAATCAATACTACAAATCCTATAACGGTTCCCACCCCTCTTTTACTACGGTATTATATATTTGCGTGACACCTTTACCCAGCTTCAGCAATCATTGAACTTTTATATCTCTTATGCCCTTTAATGTTAAGACCAATCAATACTACAAATCCTATAACGGTTCCCAATCATTAAACTGCACTATTAGTTATTCAACATCCCTATTAGATCCATGAACACCTCCATAAAAATGCACAAAATCCACTTAATCATTCTCCATCACTCTCAGTACCACCTCAATCATCATCTCCCTGTCATCCTTAACAAGAAAGATTGTCTTAAGAAAGATTGTACACGTGTTCCTGGATTCTAAGTAATGGGTTCGGGTTGATTGACAAGGGTCTCTCTCAATGAATGGATCCAATGATCAGACTGACTAAGCGTCATAGAAGGGATTTTGATAAACAAAACTGTTTAAAAAGGGCCGAAACGAGTACAAAGTGTTAATGAAATAGTTTAACTTGAGGAAAGGAGATCAAAAATCAGCAATTAACTTTGAGCTGAACAACTGGCATAATTTAAATTATAATACACTTAACATCCCTAAGTAACCCATGCACATGCACTAGTATGAAAATCCAATAACCCTACAATACATTCTTAAGCGGGAGACCACCTTACCTTGGTGGACCCCGCCCTACCTCAGTCCACAGTCCCCAGAGTCCCTCCACTACCCCCAGGTCTTCTGACATCCACTTGAATCTCTCGGATCCTGCTGTCCCACGCTCATCTTGCTGCTAGCTTTGTTGGGTCGTGCTAAAGAGCCTTTACCCACTTTCATTTTTCCTTTACAGTCACTTTAAGACTCAATAAACTCCGCTGAGTCGTCACCGAAGTCTCATCCTTTGTGGGTTACCCTGTATGGTTAAATTATGTCTTATACCAGTTTAAAAAAAATGGTTTAAAAATGTGTTAAGATAAGAAATGCATGAATTCCTATGGTAGGCCATAGCCCCTGCCATCCGTTCCATCATGAACTCCATGTGTCGACGAAGAAGAGGAGAGAGGAGGAGGTCGGCCAACTGGGCAGGAGTCATCATGGGGAACCTGGTGCAATAGCATGTTACATTAAGAACATGTTCACAATTGAGACAGAAGATGGGCGCGAAGCGCCCTAAAAGCCTAGTTATATATATTTTGCTTGTCTATCTGTTTGTATCCAATAAACGTCAAAACGGCTGAACCGATTGTGCCCAAATTTTGTGTAGGACCTCACGTGACTCCAGGGAAGGTTTATAAATGATCAAAATTTCAAAAATTTGTGTTTAAAGTCGTTTATTTTTGTAACATTTTGAAAATGCGCGAAAAAAATATCATGAAATCCGCAAACTTAAAAAAAATTATCTCTTTTATTTATTGTACACAGGGAAGATGCTCACAGATAAAGCCACCATTAAGAGTTAAAATAGAAGATGAGCCTAGTACTTTATATTTTTCTAAAAAACTTTGCCAAATTATATTTTTTGACATCTAGCTTCTAAATGCTGTTTCCGAGTTGTTATGTTTTCCATTATCACGCTTATTGTAAATATGCTGAAAGATGCACTAGTCAACTTTGTATTTCTATTATATATGATTAATTATGATACATAAATTAAGTGTGTTCTACTTAAGCATGAAAATTGATGGTTTTAACGGAATGTCGTCTTTATCTAAATTGCGGCATTAAATCGTCAACCATGTTGGTTAAAATCTAACGTAAGCTAATTTCTTAAAATTCTCTTGGCAGACCTTCGCTGGCTTGTCTCCCACTTCTGGGTTTACACTAGACGGGAGCTCAAGCCTAATCAGTAATCAGAGTTGACAGCAATTATTATTATTATTATTATTATTAGTTGTACGGGGAAAGAATTTCACTTTGGTGAGAGAGCCACTGCCCCAGCTAAACCTAAACGTGATTGGTCTTCTCTCAGCCAGGAATATACTACAGAGGATAATCAGGTGCGCTTCTTCTATTTTCATAATTTTTACAAAATTGTCATCTTCGATACTTTTCGGTCTCAAGGGAACTGTACGCGTAATCTCAAGTGACCCTCCATACAAAGTTGTCAATGCCCTATTTATAGCGGTATCCTTAAAAGCTTTGTCTGATCAAGTAATAATTATATATGGGTGTATCAAATGATAGGCTGTTGCAGGGTACGCTTCGTAACTCTGATCACGCTTTACCTCCAAGTTGTACACCTCCATGGAATGGAGGCCGGGCTGGATCAGTACTATTCTCACCTGTAGGGTCAGATACTACTGTTGGCGGTCTGGGTTGCTCAACATGGGGCTTCTTGCAGATCTCATTCTCATTCATTCATTCATATCAACGTTTACAATTTTTGTAAAACCATTATTTTCAATTGTGAGTTCTCTACGAAAAGTAACTTGTGGATTTCTACTGAAGGAAAACATATTTTCAGCAACGACAATAACTTCCACATTATTGATACGATAAAGGGTAAACGGGCCGGCTCCGATGTGAATTGAGCATTACAAACTTTGGATTGAGGCGGTCACTTGAAAATAGGTTTACAGCACTTATTAGGAAACAATTACTCTTCTCACGCCCTAGATGGTGTAGGCCTTTAGTTCTGTTAGTTTGAAAATTTCTCCACATTTATACTTTTTTTGTTAGGAACAATTTGACCCCGAGAGTGTAAAGAATCATCTACGTGAGTTTATCAGTTCTCGTGAGCTGCTGGCAACTCCTAAACTATCAGCTCATCAGCTGACCGCCTCCTCCCCTCAGCTCACTTCTCTTCATAGACGACAAAGCAGCCAGGAGTCCGTTGGATCACACAGGAGGCAGAGCAGCTTTGAGAAGGAGACTGGCAGGAGGCAGGGGAGCCAGGAGGGAATCCACAGGAGGCAGGGGAGCCAGGAGGGGATCCACTGGAGGCAGGGGAGTCAGGAAGGGATATCCTATTCCACTCCTGACCATAGAAGACAGGGAAGTCAGGAGAAAGATGGGTTTCTTGAACTTCAAATGGCTAAATTAATGGCTAGGAAGGGAATGGATGAAATTGATTCAGGTGAAAACTTTTGACGAATACTCTGCTAACAATCAAAAGGTCGGAACTGTTGGATCTTTAATCCGTTCCTAATTCGTGTATGTTAAGTTAATTCCCTTTTGGTGATCCTAAATGATCCCACAATTAAAACGCCATAATCCTGGGATCGCGGAAATATGAGTCAGCTGTTTTTTACGGATTAGGCACTTGCTCGCTTCATATGAAAATCGTCCGTAGTGGATTACGAGTTGGGGCACTGCAGATAAGCGTCACCTTACAAAAAAAGTTCCGACCTAAAATCAAACTTGAAAACTTCATATAATAATAGAAATATATATAAGTTTATTATGATAACATAATAATAACATAATAATAATAATTATAGTATTTTTATTATTATTGATACAAACTAGACTTGTGTCATTTATCAACTGAAAATTAATCTCCGTCCTCGGTTACTGTTGAAGGGGACTTGATTTACAATATATATACAATTTGATGAATGATTATAAATGTTCTTGTAGGCATGGTTCGATCTAAATCTGGAGAAATACCTAGAATTGATACTCCGAATCTACACAGATCTGTATCAGGTTAATATTTTTTAATTTCTTCAACTTAAAGTTAAAATTTGATAAAGCCGACCATTATTAATCAGAAAAAAATATAAGAGATGTTATCGAAAAAATTTGAATTTAAGTTTTTAATTAAATTTTCGAATTATTTACCAGAATTAGTACCAGGGGGCATTCATATGGCTGAGGATTTTTTTTGTAAAAGAAAAACCTAACACGGGTAAAAAAGCTCAAAACATAAAAATCCAGAATAAAAGTTCCGAAATTTTCAAGTAAAATTCTTCGTGTCTAAATTTTACATTAGAAAAACTACAATATTTTCAACTTTATTAATCCGATTAAGGTTTCCAGCACACCGTTGTGTTTTGGCAGGCCCCGCCCCTCTTAAAATACCACATTAGTTAAAAAAATATTTGATTTCAGGAGATTTGAATTCCCGTGGTTCTGTTCCTATGCTACTTGATGATGATACTCGTCAGATGCTACGGGATTGCCAGGAGTACCTCCAGGGGGCTCTGGAGGAGGGGGTGGAGCACCACAACAAGATGGGGGCGGGCAATCAGATATATTCAGACAACGGTGAAGTTGGGAATAGATGTTTGTCAGCAGAACACAGTCCTATTAGGTAATTTCCACTTAATGTCGGGAATTTTATAAGATTTTTTACCTTCTTTGAGGAATACTGAATTCTGTGCTTTATCGATAAGACTAAATATGCACAAAAATCATGATTAAATGAAAAGTAAGAAATAAAAAGATAAACATATTTTAAAACGTGGGCATCATGATTTTTGAGATCTGTGGCCGAAGTGCCGGCCCATAGCCAGTCCTAGCCGCGGCGATCGGCCCCTTAGCATGTCCTATCCGCAGCGCTCGGCCCTCCCTCAAATATTAAAACTACATCATAAAATTTTTTGTGTTAAATTTCGAAAAACTTGAAGGTAGGTTATTTTTAAAGAATTGAAAAATTAGTTCAATTTGTTTAAAAGGACTATATTTTTTTTTACGTTAGTCCAAATGAACATTAGTTCAAACTAACGTTAGTCCAATCAATCATTAGTCCAATTGATTTGTATACACAATTGTTAATTACCCCCGGTCCACGCGTAGGGGGGGGGGGACTGAACAACAACTGGCAAGTCCTCATTAATGCACAATGCACACCCTCTTGGACAAATTATTGAAATAATGAAATTTATTTTGAGCAGTGGTAAACCAGGCAATGGTAGATCTGTACACTCTAGTCCGGGAAACAGTTATAACAAGTACCTTGCCCGGTCGACCTCATCTAACCTGGGCACTAGCCCTGGTCGGGCACTGCCCGGGGCATCTAGTCCGGTCACAGCCTTTCATAGCCCTCAGAGTTCTAGTCCAGGAAATAAGGTAAATAAAAATGAAGGACTTTATTTACAAACTTTTCAAAATCCGAATTGATCAAAATGTGTTTAAACAAGTCTTAAGTTTTAGGCAATTGTACGAGCTATTCTTAAAACTTGAATAAATCAAGTTATTTGGAAGATAGTTTATATTGCTCAATTTTTTTAATTATTGGTCAATCACGAAATAAATTGACGCTGCAACTTTGATATCTTATAATTGCATGGGCGGCTTTCTATATTGTTTTTCTTAAAAATTTGGACAAGGTTACTGGTTAGGGTCGGGGGAGGGGAGAATGTGGCACGGCTATTTACAAAGTTTTTCTGGAAGAGAAAATACTTGAAAATTAACCAGAATTTTTACTTACTCAATGTGCGCCGGGTTTTTTTTTCAATCCAATCAGTTTAATCAATCAAAAAAAGTTGTATCCTCTTTGTAATTTTCTAGGGGATATGTTTCCTCGCCCCCCCCCCCTTTTGCCAGTGCCCTGTTAATGACTGTGATTCAGAAGCTTTAAATTATGATTTTTGCTGTTAATACATGCTTACATTTAGAATTTCTAGTTAATTTTATAATTTATATTTGTTAAGATGTCCTCGTCCTCTAAACCTCTGTCTCGTCATAGCTCCGGGCATCAGGAGGACAATGAGGACGGGAGGGGAGGACAGGGAGAACCTCCGCAATATGAAAATGTAGAAAACAGAGGACAGTATTGTCAGGTATACCACATTTTTTATCTTCAATTAAGTTCTTAATTTTTCAAAATCAAAACGAGAAAACTATTTTTTCCTTGAAATAAAATCAATTTTCTTGACATTTTAACATGAACAAACAATCTTGGGGGGAGGGGGGGGGGGGTTGATTTTAGAGGAAGAACTTTTCAAAATTAATTTGATAACACATTTGTGTATCTTTTACTTAAGACCTTGTGAATAAAGTTCATAAAATTATTTGAAGATTCCTTTGTAAAAATTGGAAAACTGGTTCTCATCGATATGTTAATAGCGCAATAACAGTAATATATTCTCCTAAGTAACATCATTAGGAATTCAGGAATAAAATAACATTTTTAACATCGTTATTTAAATATGATTAATATTATTAAGACTTTCTAAATATGACATTTTTTCAGGTAACTGTTGATGCACGAGAAAAGATTTCAGCAGCTGTCAAAATGCGCAATCGAGAACGGAGAAACTCATTTCGACAAGCTGTTGACCGTGTCGACAAACATGGTCGTCCCTATGAACCAATTTGGTTCGGCGACGAACGGGACGATAGTGAGGAAAGTCCTCGCCTTGAAGATAATACTCCAGACACCCGAACCCGGGGAATTGATACTAGACTACTCTCAAATGGTCCTGTGTACGCCAATGCAAAGTTTAAACCAAAGGAGGAGAAAGATCTGGAAAAGCCGGAAACGCGACAGACAAATATCCGGTCAGGCAGCTATGACAATATCCGGTTGCCAGATACCGGATACGGAAACGTACCATTCTCCACGCGGGAAGACGATTATAGTTGTGTTAGGTTTGGGGCGGAAGCTGAAGACGGATACGGCACTCACCGCCTTCTAGTCGAGGGTGGCGGAGAGGCGGGTTATGAACCGGTGAATTTTCATCAATCTGGCGGCGGTAGCGCGGGATCATCAAAGAAGAACTCAATTGATAAGAACCGGTCGCAGGATGGTCAAACAGGTATTTTTTATCAGATCTTATTTTCATTATCTGAATATCAACAACATTTTTGACTTAGCTATTCATCTCCAGTCCGTTTTCTGTTATGAATATAATGAATATAACAGCGAATTATTTTCTCTTGTCGACCTTTTTTCCCTAAAAGTTAAAGCTTTTAAAGAAAACGCGACAATTATCAAAGGAAATGTAAGCGTAATTTCAAGTGTCCCTCAATGCAAAGATGGGCAATTGGCATTGCCATTTAGCTTGGAAGGTCACCTGAAATTACTTGAATGATTTCTCCAGACTTTCTTATAATCAAGGAATGCGCCAGTCACATATGATATCCAGAGAAACCACAAAACAAAATTATAATTTTTCTAAAACTATAACATGAAGCTCAAAGTCATTGTTGAAATGAAAAAGCTTTAAATGGTACCGTTGTTAATCTGGCATTGCCATCTTTGCATGGAGGGTAACTTTAAATTACGCTTACTGTCCCTTTTTATAATTGATAATTATTATTCAGGATTGTCGTCGTCTCTTCTTGTCGCTGAAGCATGTCGGGATTATGAAAGAGGGTCCTCTCAGCCCCCGGGCCCACAGCATCAGGAGCAGCAGCAGAAAAAACCGGTTTTACAAAAGCAGAACTCGGGTAGCGGTGGTGTCAGATTGCCGCCACCATATCAGGCTCCACCAGGGGCGTATCAGCCTTCGTCACAGGGGGGATATCAAGGACAGAAGGCGTATACTGGGCAATCGGGCGGGTCTGGCGGACACGCCCATCAACAACAGCCTATCCCACCTAGTTCTACATCGCCAAATCAAGAGGTAATTAAAAATTCTATTCTAGATAGATCTAAATAATTAAAGTTTTATTGGTATTATGTTTCTTTACTCCGTTTTCTAGGTCTCAGAACGTACACCTCGACGCCATGGACCTCATATATCTACACCAACACGATATATACAACGCCCACCCTTCAACAAGGACACGCCTTTTAATAACCCTGCCTTTAAACATCAGAGCTACTCAGCTTCGGCTATCAGGACTCCGGCTCCGCCCTCTTCTGCTGCTAGTCTTTCAGCCTCCATACCGGATGTACGTCCACCAACGGAGAGCGCTCATTTATCCAATCATAATTTTCAGAACGCGGCAGTTACGCGCAGAAATCCGCGAGAAACAAGTAAGTAAACCGAAACCGGGAAACCGAATTCTGCACCGCATGATCCATGATTTTAACCCTGACAAGGATTTAAGAATCTTTTATGTTCACTCTTCTAAAATCCATAATCAAGGTTTAAACTAATTTAAATGATTGTTTTTTTACAGTAAGTATATAAGATTGGATATTAAAACTCAAACCTGTTTGTTAGACCAATTTTGAGTAATGAATTGTTTGTATTAAAACTCATTTGGCTTAAACTCTTAACTTTTTGTTGTGTTTTATGTTTCTGATGAAATAATTTCTAAAATAATTAACAAAATCGAGGAATTGAATTTGAACTAATCCTAACCCTATAGTCCGAGGAGTGCGGGACGACTCCGAGCTACCCAACAGGACAAGAGACGAACATAGTCATGTTCGTCACATGAAGCGTAATAGCTCGCTTGTGACGATGGCTCGGCTTGGATTAGCGGCCGGGCAGCAGGACTTCATTCCCCAGCCAGGTAGATAGATAGATAGGTAGGTAGGTAGGTAGGTAGGTAGACAGGCAGGCAGGCAGGCAGATTATAAGTCCAACTTTGTCCAAGTAGGTTATAATTAATTCAACCTGCCAAAATGTTCTTTGTCCCTGTTTTAGATTTTATTTTGTTATTTATTGCCTCTGCATGAACCAACCTAATATATACCTAACAATTGCAGCATGCCTTATTTGTGTGTTCACTGTTTATCTTACTAAAGGTGTGTGTGAAATCCAGTTTAATATACATATATTTACGGGTTAAAGTTTAAATGCAATTTTACTTACTGTTATAAACAAGATTAGAACTAATTAAATGTTTGTTGTTGTAAATCAGGTAGAGATATATATAGTACATATGTATTCTATATTTATTTAATTAATTTTGAGAAGTCCTTGTAATAAAGGTTTTCGCTCAAATAAAATCTTTAAAACAAGACATTCGTATATACATGTTGCCTATAGCCGGCCAAACGGCTGGACCGATTGGGCTGAAATTTTTGGTGGACACTCATGGGTGGCCGGGGGGTGTTAAAGGCTAAAGAAAATTCGAAAATTTTTTCAATTTTTCTATGGGCAACGCCGGGCCCTTCAGCTAGTAATATATATATTTGTATACAAGGGAAAAGGCAACAATCTTGTATATAATATTTTACTCGGAAATATATATTTATACATACATTTATACATATATATATATTTATATTTTATGTATGTATGTATGCTTGCCATGGCAGGCCAAATGGCTGAACCAAATTTGATGACATTTTTGAGGGAACCCATGAGGACCCTGGGGAAACGTAAGGCTAAAAAATGATTTTTTTTCTTCAAAATTTTGTCTTTTTAATATTTTTTCAAAATTCAATTTTTTTAACGGGCAACGCCGGGCACTTTGGCTAGTATTGAATAAAAATATTTTATCTTTTTTAAATTAAAATAGAGCCCTTCTTCTACTTATATAAAGATTTAAGTTTTTTTCTTCTTAAAATTTATTTTTTTTTAGGATTATTTTTGAAGGGGGATGGAACACGTTCGGGACCTTCCCTGATAGTCCAAGGGTCCAGGACCGCGGTCCATGTTGGAGGAGGTCCTGTGGGACCTCCTGGAAGATCAGGGACCACCCCTCCAAAGAGATCCGCAGGGACCAACCCCCCTGGAGTAGATATAGATAGAGTTGCTGCCATGCTCAATACCAATGATAAAGGTATTTATGTTGAGCTTATAAAGCTTTTTTAAAAACATTTTGCGACCCTGTTTCTTGAAAGAATTTTATTTTATCAACATTTATTTTTCATCATGCATAACAAAAAAAGTGTAAAACAGTGGATTAGGACAAAATATTATAGTTCTATGCGGTCATTCAATGCGCAAGACACTGATCAAGTCACTAAAACATCAATATTTAATTTATTCTTAATCATACAAAGGGTGTCGTTATGAATCGTACTTTATAAATGGAGGGTCATTTGAATTCACGTTTACACAGTTTAACATTAATATATTTTCCAGAAGGACCGGCCCTGGCACAAATGGCCGCTCTTCAAGGGCGCACATTTGGAAGATCTCTGGCCGGGGTGTTGTCAGGGGCAGCAGCAAACCTCAAGTCTAGACTGGTAGGGATACAGGGGATATCTGATACTAGGGTTAGAGCCTCGCCTTCACCCCCACTCAGGGGCGAGGAACAGGTTGGATTTATTCTTAATTATCTATTTTAGAAAATATTGAAATGTTTAGATTATAAAGATAAAACAATTTAGCTGTTAACCGTTGCTCTTCAAATGGCCATTTTCTTTGTGAATAGTATTTCACGGATTCCCGAAAATCGGTTCAGCCGTTATGACTTTTCTTTTTGTACCAAGTATATATACAGATTTAGCGCATTTTGGGCATTGTGTTGTCATATTTGGACACTAATCGAAATGAATAATAATAACCATATCTTATTTTGTGATAAAACCCATGATATATTACTTACTTACTTACTTACTTACTTACTTACTTACTTACTTACTTACTTACTTACTTACTTACTTACTTACTTACTTACTTACTTACTTACTTATGAATAAGAAAAACCGTTTTTTTTCTCGTGTAAATGCAATCGATAACTCCCACAAATATCGATTATTCTAACCCTTTGGGACTTTTTTTGAAAAATAAGGTTTGTATAGTAAATATCCTTATTTCCAAATTAATGTGTATAATTTTGAAATAGGTTGAATATAATATTCTTTGACAATTGGATGGAATTAATATGCGATTGCGGAATACAGATTGCAGAACCTATATCTTATGAAAAATCATTTTCCCAGTATATAAGGAGTTTCAGGGGGTTAGTTTTTTTTGAAATATGGAAAATGAATTAATTTTTAAATTATAAATATCTTAAAGGGAAAAAATTTGCCTGTTGTGGTCTACTTTTTTATTTCTTTTCTAAATCTTAAAAAAAACTCTTAAGAATATAGACATTTTTTTTGGTTAATGATTTTGTTAATTTAGGATTCTGAAGATAGAGACGCATCTTCCTCCAGGATACCTGCTACTCTACCTGGTCAAGAGTTTGGTAGGCAATATTTTACATAATTAGCAATTCTTATTGGTTCATAATTCTCATTGGTTCATAATTCTCATTGGTTCATAGTTCTCATTGGTTCATAATTCTCCTTGGTTCATAATTCTCCTTGGTTCATAATTCTCATTGGTTCATAATTCTTATTGGTTCATAATTCTCCTTGGTTCATAATTCCCATTGGTTCATAATTCCCATTGGTTCATTATTCTCATTGGTTCATAATTCCCATTGGTTCATAATGCTCCTTTCCCATTGGTTAATAATTCTCATTGGTTCATAATTCTTATTGGTTTATAATTCCCATTGGTTCATAATTCTCATTGGTTCATAATTCCCATTGGTTCATAATTCCCATTGGTTCATAATTCCCATTGGTTCATAATTCTCATTGGTTCACAATTCTCATTGGTTCATAATTCTCATTGGTTCATAATTCCCATTGGTTCATTGGTTAATAATTCTCATTGGTTCATAATTCTCATTGGTTCATAATTCCCATAGGTTCATAATTCCCATTGGTTCATAATTCCCATTGGTTCATTGGTTAATAATTCTCATTGGTTCATAATTCTCATTGGTTCATAATTCTCCTTGGTTCATAATTCTCATTGGTTCATAATTCCCATTGGTTCATAATTCTCATTGGTTCATAATTCCCATTGGTTCATAATTCTCCTTGGTTCATAACTTTCCTTGGTTCATAATTCCCATTGGTTCATAATTCTCATTGGTTCATAATCCTCATTGGTTTATAATTTTCATTGGTTCATAATTCTCATTGCTTCGTAATTCTCATTGGTAGTTGCTGTGGACGTGATTTCATGGAACATCGGGTTTACTCTCCCGACAATGTTAGTGAATGATATATATGTAGAACCGTAGGGATACTGTTGTCAATCAAGTTCACTCGAAATAACGCCAACAGTCCCTTTAATAATACAAAGTCAGTAATGCTAAACCCTTTATCATTGGATAATCCTTCAAATTCTTTATAAATGAGAGATCAGGAACACTTGACTTATATTTCATTCATTTTCATTAATTTTTGAAATATTTCTTTTTAACTTGCGTATGTTTTCAATCGTTTTTGACATCTGATCAAACCTTGCCAGCTTCCGTTTTGCTGCTTTTTTTTATTTTTTTAAATTAATCTAATTTTTTTATTTCAGGATTTCCAGTCCGGATAAAGTCGAAACCCTTGGGACCGCGTGAAACACCGCCAACCTTTCAGAAGAAACAAGAGTATTTATAGTGGCGCCTAGAACATTTTTAGTGGCGCAACGAATATTTTTAGTGGCCCCAGTATTTTTGTGGGGGCTCAATACCAATGATAAAGGTATTTATGTTGAGCTTATAAAGCTTTTTTAAAAACATTTTGCGACCCTGTTTCTTGAAAGAATTTNCCCCCTCATCCTCCTTATTTTAGGATTGTACAACGTGTGGGATATTCAAGGCCCTTGGTCTCAAAGTAAGAGACAAAATCTGATTTTTTTTCCTGCTGAATACTAAAATAACATTGTTTTTCTAAAAAGAGCGTTCTTAAAAAAACGTTGAGGTCGCTTTAAACAACGTTAAAATGTGGAATTATCAGATTTGGTTCGGAACTGTGATATTTTAAATTCTGACGATATATAAACAAAAAGATCTGTAACCCCCCCTTCTATCTCTCTGTCTCCCATCTCAACGATCATATTTTCATTTTGTATGTTCAATCGAGCATCATGCTTTTCCATATTTTGCGGCCTTCAACCAATCCTATTTTTATTCACGTGTAATAACATTAACAAAATTATTGAATCTTCTGAAACATGATCTGGAACTATCTCTCTTTAAAATAATTTGTCTTTTAAAGTGTAGGAATCTTTTTTATCATCCACTCACTAATAAGCTTCAACGAGTTATTAAAAATATGTTTCCCCAATGCCCATTGACCGTGATTGTTTAATATAATCATAACTCTGAATTTTGAAGTGAACACTATACGATGTATACGAGAAACCACCTGTATTACTCTATATCAATATGTCATGGCGGTTTTTGTCACTAAATGTATAATGTACATTCCCTAAATTATTTTTTTTAGAAAACCTTGCCACTCAATTTTATTTTTAAGAAAATCAAAAATTAACATTTATGCCAGACATCAAAAGGATTAACCTTGTATGAACAAGGATTTAAAATTGACAGTTTTTAAATTACATTTTTACCTGATATTAAATTGTGCAGCTTGCTTAAAGGGACTGTAAGCGTAATTTTAAGTGATCCTTCATGCCAAGTGGGAAGTGGGAAATGCCTGGTTCACAACGGTACACTTAAAATCTTTCTGTGTTCATCGGGTCCAGAAATATGTTTGTGATAAATCCGTTTGTGTAAGCAGCTGAAAATTCCGGTGTGCACTGCGTACAGTCTGAACTCAACGCACAGCGGAATTTGCAGCGGATCATACAAGCGGATTCAGATACGTTAACACACACGTCTCTGTACTCGACTAACACAGGAAGGTTTTTAGGATACCGTTGTTAATCGGGCAGTCCTTTCTACGCGTGGAGGGTCACTTGAAACTTCGCTTACAGTCCCTTTCATACATTATAATATATACGGGAAACCTACCCGTCTTATACCTTCTGTGATACCAGCAGACTATACTTATTAACCCCTCTAAACATATCTTTTTAGATGTTAAATGTTTGAAATTTGTATATTTGTACTTGAAAGGACTGTCAGCGTAATTTCAAATGATATTTTAATAATAGTTTCCCCGTTAAACCATTAGCTATGAGAAATTATTAATTTTTTCAACTATAGATAATGGGATGAATGTTACTTTTAGCAAACTTGAATCGAACAATCATTTTAAATTACGACAACAACCCCTTAAATAGGTGCACATTGTACTATGTACACCCATTTGGAGCTTTTCCTTATTATATAAATGTTATTCTATTAATATTACATAATCCTGATCTTATCAATGAAAGTAACCCCATGAGGCCCACCTGTCTAAAAACCTTTTAAAGCATCATTGCTAAATTATCTATTACCCTTAAACAGTGCCTTCTACCCAACTCAAGGACAGTCGCGCCATTTTAGCGCATTTTTTGTGAACAGCTGATTTTTATCCATCAGCTGATTTGTAGTTAACTACTGACGATCTTAACTGCACCATATTTGGTGGATTTCTAACCTACAATTAACTTGAATAGTTATTTCAACTGCGTAGACTCCTAAATTTTCTTATGGTCGAGATTAAATTTCGAAATATTCACAAAACGTTGTCTTACTAATGACAAAATTGCTTTAACAATAACAAATCATTGATTTTGTTTGTATGAATTAAACTGCCCCCTCCATGCCTGAAATATTTGTTGTCTATGCCCTTAATAGATGTCAAAATAAAGACTAATCTTAGTTTCTACGCATTTCAACGCATAAAATAGTTTTTTTTAAATATCCTCAAAAAAACGTACTTTAAACTAAACTCAACACCACAAAGTTCTTTACATTCATTGGTTAAGAAAAATATTTTTGTGTTATTTCATAATTTTTGGGATTTATCATCTGACGCTTTGCGTATTTCGTTCGCAACTTTAAACCCTCCAGTGACGCAGTGGATGTTGAGTTCTGATCCTGATAACTTGTATTAGAACCTGTGATGAATATGTATTAATTTTATTCTAGCAAATAAACTGTCTACTCATTTCATAGTTCATTCAACAAACTTAGTTTCATTTCTGTAAAATCTCAAGTTTGTATATTGTACTCTTATTTCTTGGCTTTCTAATATTTTGCCTTGAAGCTGCTGGATAGCTGCCATCCATTCAACTTTTCTAGGTTTGAGAACTGGCAATGTTGCGTTCAAACAAACGAACAAACAAACAAACACACATACGCTAATTCAGAGGAGGGGGCGGGGGAGGGGAGCATTTGGATTACCTTTCTTCTCGTTCTGTTTTCTTTCTCAACTTTTCTATGCTTGTCTGGAGACTGGCTAATCTACTATCAGATCATACCAATAAGTCGGATCAAAGCCATTATACTTTTAATGGGACCGTTTACTTATTTGGTTAATTTGATTATATAATGGCAATTCATTAGTATTAGCTATTCATTGGTATTAGGGTTTCCAGCGAACGAAACGTTTTGCGAAAAAATGCGAAAATTTTCGTTTGTATTTCGCAAAATGAATGAAGCGAATTTTCGCATTTCTCAAAAATACTTTCACGAAACTTCGTGAAATTATATTCTCAAAATTTTGTCGTTATTCATCTTTTGATAAAACTTGGCATTTAAAAAACAAAATTCATTATTTTTTCACGAAACAGAATGAAGAATTTTCGCGAGAATACGAAGTGCGAAAATCATGAGAAAATAAATTCGAAATTTTTACGAAACAAATTTCCTTTTTCTCTGGAAACCCTAATTGGTATTAGTCTACTTTTCAAAGACAACTGTGCTCTGCGAAAAAGACGATTTTTCATCCAGAATTCCAGCGCAAGGGTTTATTAGGCTGAAACTGGTGTTGGAAAGAAATAAGGGTAGTCCTCCCCGACAAATTCTTGTATAAACCTCTGGTGTAATGAGAAAAAGTTAACGTGAACATATATATTTCAAAATATGCATAAAATCAACTGAATATTATATAAATATTCTACAATTCTCGGGGAATACGATATCATAACAGCCAATAAAGTCACAATCAAAGAGGTACTTGGATAAAAGTCATCATTTCTAATAATAAAATAGTCCTGTGGAAAAGGTCAAGAAAATGTTTACTTCAAATTATTCCGAAGATTTAATTTCCAATTCCTAGTTTTGTATGCGGAAAAAATATTTGTTAAAAATTAGTGTGATTCTACCATGATTATTTTTCAAAAGACTTGAGTAAATTTTGAATCTTATTTCTGGTGTTTTTATTTCAAAGACTTTTTTCCAACAACTTTTTTCCCATGACTTTCTTAGACGGACTCCATCTGTTAGCTGCAAGGGAGCTGGAAGTAGTTGAGCTTATATCCTAATCTCAATCAAAATTAACATTTAAACATTTTTTCAAGTTTTACTTTTTTTATTCATTTTTGAAATAGATGTTTACTACTTTTCTGTTCTTAAATTGATTTCAGTTCAATAAAATTCTTTAAATTCGACTGATTACGTTTATCAAAATGAGACGCATTTAACTGCGATAAAAGAAAGACGACATCTAAGCATTATTATGTCTATCTGATGTTGTTATAAAGCAATTCGTTAAACGAGCAGCTGAAAAAAAATTAGCTTTGAAAAATAAACGGGTCGACGTCTACTTCCATGTTAATTGAAATATTTCAAGAGTCGTTGTTATCCACAATTTAATGTGTCTCACTCTATACATGATTCAAATGTTAAATTCAATTCCTCGATTTAGAAGTGCTCGAAAGAGAAACTCAACCCTGATATTAAAGGGACGAACTTTACCTAAACATTAAATTAATTATAAATGTTTTTTTTTCTTAATTTTTTAAATAGTATATACTGAAGGTTTCATTCTAATTAAGGAATTGAATTTTTGCCACAAACTCTGATCTTCTAATCCTTATAATTATAAAACCCGATGGCTTAAACCTTTGATATTTCAAACGATAAATTCTGTTAGACCAAAAAGTCCAAGTTTAAAATATTGAAGGATTACCCCACCAGGTTGCACATATATGAGGACTATAAAACTTTAGTTTGTGGCAAAAGCTTAATTTTGGAATTGACTCCCATGTAACTGGAGAATTAAATTATTAAAATACGCCTTTTTCTTTTTATTCATAGATTTTGACGATCTGGTTAATTGCAATAATCCCGCCGGGTTTTGCAGTTACTTTTATATTTTTCAAGGCCCATTTAAAAATCGCTCTCTACAAAAAATATAAAATATAAGAATAAATAACGAAAACTATCGCATATCAGGATAAAAGTTATATATTTTGGAAAGTTTACTTACTGTAAATAACATCATGGTCGGCATCTTTACAGAATGTCGGACTATTGCAGAGACGTTTATGACAAAACCTAAACAAAATATTTTTTTACCAAAGGAATAATTTAGAAGGGGTGGGGGGGAGGGGTTGTAAAACGTGCAAAAACAATTTTAACTTTATAGTTTTTAAAGATCTCCGATAACTTTGAAATAACAAAAAAGGCAGACCACATTTAAGAAATGCAAGGACAAAAATATTTTCTTATTAATGTTTAAAAAGTCCTTATTGTGAAATTTTAAATTTATAAATTTTACTGAGGCCGAATTTAAAGAATTTAAACCCCGTCGCTCAACCGCAAAAAAACCGGTTCAAATTGAGCGCAGGCTCTATTCTCGAAACACTGAATACAATTTCAAGCGGAACCAACCATGTTTGAACCGCGTCTTATATTTGAACCGCGGCTCAAATTCTTTAAATTCGGCCTCTGAGCAAATATTAAAAGATATGAATCATATGACGCTCTCAAATCAAAGGAAGTGCAAAGTATAGTTCAACTGAAACTGCAGTATTTTTAGAGACAAGTTTTCCGGCAGAACTGATGGAAACTAATAAATCTTCAGAGGAATCTTCTAAATAAAAATATTAAAAAGACAACTTTCCTTTTTCAGTAAATGACTGTATTTCTTCATTCTTTTTTACTTCTACCTTTGTAGGTACAGAGTGTTCCACGAAACATGACAGTTGGTGATATAGTTTAGAATGTCTTCTTCCATAATTTGTTAAGTTGATTGATACCAAAGACAATATCAAAAATATGACATGGGAGTCATATTATAGTAAAATTTATTTCAAAGTAATATATATTTGAGCAAAAGATTTTCTTAATGAAATAAACTGCAAAAAAAACCTTTAATATCATAACACAGTATATGTACGACGACATTCAAAACTATTTATCAACTGTCATGTTTCGTGGGACGTATTTAGAAATAAGTTAATAACTTTGAAACTTTCAGAATATTTACTCAACAATCATTGCCCAATTAGAAAACTATATTTTTGATAATATGTCCTTACGTAACCTAATATTTTGTTCATACCGCCGAATTACTGAAAGGATATTAGGGAAATTTCACGAAAACAAATTTTTAATTTCAAACTCAGATTTTGAAATAAATTCATCTTTGGAACATCAAAAGTTTAAACCGTCAGGTTGCAAAGACATATAGATTAGAAAATTAGAGTTTGCGGCAAAGACTCAATTCCTTTTGAGCAACATTTTTTTGTGGTAATTCACCCAAGACAAGGTTTTTGGTCCTTCAAATTAAAAAAAATATTTTGCGTAGAAAAATATTTGATTTTAAAATTTGCAAGAATCCATCATAACATGAATTCGCAAATTGTTTAGGTTTACTCTGTACTGGCGGCTTCAAATTGTTAGTTGAAAAGAGGCACACATATTATACCTGTCACATCCTGTAGTAACACTAGCGGTGGCAGAATTTACATAAGGAGCATTTCCCAGATTCACAGTTCCCTGCACAACAAAGGTTGTAACAAAAACAAATCAGAAAAAATTCAAACTAATGATTTTATTTTTGTGAACGTCTCCAAACTTTTGAATAGCTTTTTTTTTAAAGTTTTAAGGTCAAATTATGATTTTTTAAAATTTTGTTTATTTCTTATATATTAATGATATATGTCTATAAGACACCTGTGGAATATAAACATATCGAGTGTGGCAATAATTATTGTTAGTATTGTCTGCCCCGTCATATCCACAACCGTTTCTTCCCCTAAAAACACAAATATTAGAAAAAAGAGCTCAGTCATAGAGAAAGATTTTTGGAAACACAAAGATCATGAGGGAAGGTTAATTTTTAATTTTTTTTTTTCTAACATCTTGATATGGGTTTTACAAGACAGGTTTACTGGGCACAATCCAACTTTTTCTATCCCTTTCGTTAACGGTTAGTTCCAACCATTAAAAAAGAAAAATTTCAGGTAGCCATTAGTTTTAACGGTAAAAACAGAACGTTCGTTTCATTAACGGTATTTTCCGTGTTTTAAAGCTACCGTTAGATAACAATCACAATTTTATTAATAATGTAAATATTCTGCCGTTAACGGTTTTTTGCAATTTATGGCATTAGCTGTTCAGAAAAAGCGTGAAGTAAAAAAAACATTTTAGTTAACGATTTGACAAATCTTTAAAGGCATGCAAGTCGTTAACGGTTGTTTGTAGTTTTAACGGTTTTCCAAAACTAGAAATCGTTAACAGTTTATCAGATTGGATTACCGCACTAGCCGTCACAAAATTGCACAAAGTCTTTAAAGTTCTATCATATAAATGGGGGAGACTGAAGACGACATTTAAATACAAATAATACTTAATTCAATTTTTTGTTGTTGCAAGTTTCATACAATTTTAGCCCAAAAAAAGAACGAAAGTTGCCATCGGTTTCGTTTTTGTTTAAACCATTAATATTTTCTATCAAAAACGGCTAATCCGTTTCGTTAACAATTTAAAAATTAAACGTTTTTGCCGTTTTCTAAAACCATCATTTTTCAACGGAACTTTGCCCAGATCTAATCAATAAATGAGCCTTGTAGTGCTGCTCATAGTAGCTCTCAGTTCCACAGCTCGGAAGAGCGCTGCGTAGAGTTGCTCATGACTAAGTAGCAAGGGATATTTAGGAATTAACAATAAACAAGAACTTCATCTTCAGCTTTTCATTTCATCAACATTTCAGCTGAAAGAAGGAGCACAGAAGTATAACCCCTGATAGGTATACAAGCCATGCAGAATGATGCCGGTTTTTTACTCTGCTGGCTGTGAGGACTGGACTACTGTGCAGGAAGATTCCGCCTGATGGGCTGAAAGGCTTTCAACTCCCCATTTTGCATAAGCTGTGCAGTTATGGGTTTCCTTAAATTTCTGCTTAGTCGGAAAGACTTTAACACAAGGAAAGCAGGTTACGGTTTTTCCATTCGATCATATCTAATTGTTTGTTACAATTTAGATTTTTAAATGCATTAAAGCGGGTGGCTTTGGGGATACACATAAATAGATTTTTAGGCTTAATTTGAAATAATTTCTAAAATAAAATATGTTACTTACAAAGTATTTTGGGAAGGAGCTGTCGGGGACCCGCTTAAAGCAAACCTAAAATTAAATTTTCTAGAATTCTTTATTATCCGATTTTAAAAATGAAAAATTCTCAAAGTAAAAAAAAATTATTGAAAACAACAGAGCTTTTTCAATGAACTTTTTGTTATTTTATTGTATCTACTTTGCTTTTGTGAAATTGTTCCTTTTCCAAATATAGGTTGTTCCAAAAAACATGAGAATTCAGTGAGAATTATGATGGCGTCTTTGTAAATGATCTGTAGACATTTCGTCTATTACAGTTAAGAATTTGTTTGTTTATGTTTTTATTGCATGTGGTAACTTGTATTATTGTATTCTCATATACAAACACACGTTGTTCCTCTTAGCTGTTTAAAATAAATGTACTCAATAGTGGAGATAGCTTAATTTAAACCAATTGAAATTAGGTAATATACAATGTTAATTCTTTACAAGACATTTAGTTTCCATGAATTTATTAGGATACCCTTTATATTAAAAAATTATGATATTCAAAGATATCTCGATGATCAGGAAATTTTAAACTTTAGTATTGTTAATAGCATAGATGAATAACAACACAGATAGTACACTAGATGTCCTCTTTTCAAGAGTTTTCGTTCACAGTAACCCTGAGGCAGAGGCCTAGAGGAGTTACGCGCATGTGGGCTCTCTCCCTGTATTGTAAATCAACGCAGCATGCGCGTTACTCATTTTTGCTTCTGCCTCAGGGTTATTGTGAACGAAAAACCCCGAAATCTTGAAAAGACGACATCTGTGTTCTATTTGTGATGTTATTGATCTATGGTTAAAAGAAATCCTAACAATGTATTTGAAATATCAAACTTAATCAAATTTCGCATTTCTAAAGTACAAATTTCCTGTTCGTAATTGCAAACTTTTTCTTTAGGATTTCAAAATACATTTTTGTAGTTCGATGTAACGAACGAAATGTTAGGACATTTTATCATGTTTTCATCATTTTTTAAATATATTTTAAAAAACTGCGCATTACCCATATTCTTCTTTATCAACGTCAGGAGGTGCATAACCTATCGTACACATATCCTTCTCTCGACGTATGCAAATTGTATGAAAGCCTAAAAAAGTTATTGAAATTTATATTTTTTCTTCAATAGTTATTTAATAAAGATAGATTGTTTCTATAAAGAAGAAAATCAAACATTTAAAAGTATAAGTGATTCAGAAAAAAAAAATATTTTTAAATTTTAAATGTTGTGTTCAGATATTAAAAATAATGGTTTTAACTACAGCTTTTCTTTTAGATAAAAAAAATTAGACGCCAAATAATTCTAATTGTCCATAACATGATCATGATAAAAGGTTTTGTTTGTATCATTAGATCGGACGGACATTTTTCTCAGATGTGGTTAATTCTACAAAAAATCGGTTTTCAGTTGAGGCTCTGACTTCAATATATTGTTTATTAGAGACATCCTGCGCAAAGAATTAAACTGTAAAGACAACCTGAAACATTTTAAAAATAGCACGTTTCCAAGGTCGAATTAGGTCTTTTGAACATAGTTTTATTATAACCTTTTTATTGATTGGGAAAAGAAAGAAACAAGTTTACAAATGCAGAGAATTATATATATATAAGGTAACAGAAAATGCACACTAAACTAAGTTAGTGGTATAGATCAAATAAGCCTATGATAGGCCGTGTACTGTAAAAAGTCTGAACGCGCCATCAAAGTTGAAACCAGGTCTACATACAATAAGGTCAGGCTGGAACATGCCACGTGTCACTATAGGGCCGGTACATGCCGCTTGTTACTATAGGGTCGGTACATGCCGCGCGTCACTATAGGGCCGGTACATGCCGCGTGTTACTATAGGGTCGGTACATGCCGCGCCTTACTATAGGGTCGGTACATGCCGTGCGTTACTATAGGGCCGGTACAAGGATCGTAGGTTCAGTTTGAATTTAAATTGACCCTAGTATGAATATGAATTCCTATTTAGTCATCTTTACAGTCTCATACTTTGTGGGTAACCCTGTATTAACCTGTGAGCTTGGACTGCCAGTCCGAGACTGGATTATCATAATTGAATGATTGTATAACTCCGGATCCACCATTTCCAAAATAGTATTGTCCGCAGCCCTAGAAAAGTAGAAGTAAAAAATTATTTATTTATGAAATATAACAAGAACATACAAAATTAAATGTTTCAGGATAATAATAAACACTGTGTTTTTTAAAGGGGGGGGAGTAGAGGTTTATTAAAATGTCAATGAAAACGGACAACTGTTTTATGTAGAGCTTTGCATGTAATTATTTTTTAAATTGAATGTTTTCCTTTTTTCCTTTTATTCCCATCATTAGCTTTGCTGAAATAGATTATCAAAACCATGTCATAGAAACACAAAAATAAAGCAAAAGGTACCTAAAAATACACATGTTGCAAACATATATAATACCTTGAATAAATTTCAACTGGAAGAAAATATTTTTTTTGGTTTTTTTCCATAATTAACTTTACTGCTGTACATTCACTGTTGAAAACAAGAAAAAAATAATCGCTAAATATCCTAATCCTGATCTATAGCAGAATATTTTGGCATAATATTGTAACTAATAAATATATGCAATATGAATATTTACAGTCTTTTTAAACCTCTACCATCATTTAAAAACACTGTTTAAAGAGGATTAGCTATAGAATAAAGGGACTGTTTATAGAGGATTTTAGCTATATATTAAAGGAAATGTGTAAAGAAGATTAGCTATATATTAAAGGGACTGTTTAAACAGGATTAGCTATATATTAAAGGGACTGTGTAAAGAGGATTAACTATATATTAAAGGGACTGTTTATAGAGGATTTTAGCTATATATTAAAGGGACTGTGTAAACAAGATTAGCTATATATTAAAGGGACTGTTTAAACAGGATTCGCTATATATTAAGGGGACTGTGTAAACAGGATTAACTATATATTAAAGGGACTGTGTAAAGAGGATTAACTATATATTAAAGGGACTGTTTAAAGAGGATTAACTATATTTTAAAGGGATTGTGTAAAGAGGATTAACTATATATTAAAGGGACTGTTTATAGAGGATTTTAGCTATATATTAAAGGGACTGTGTAAAGAGGATTAGCTATATATTAAAGGGACTGTTTAAAGAAGATTACCATATATTAAAGGGACTGTAGGCGTAATTTCAAGTAAATCTCCATTTATAGAGTAACAAATATACCATTTTGTCTGATCAAAAGTGCATAAAATTATTTTCATAATCATTATTTTGTTGAGATTGATTTTTTCTTGACATTTCAAGAAAGAATAACAGAATTCTCCGCATTACTGTATCATCAGATAAACATTTAAAATACATAAGTCTTAATTCATAAGTGACCATTCATTTTAAAAGATGGACATGCCCAATTCACAACGGTACCCTTGACACCTTAATCTGATCAATAATGTAGAAAAAATGCCGGTTTTCCAGCTTAAAAAGCGTTTAACTCTGACATTTCCTCCATTGTTTCTGAATCAAGAAATGCGCGAGTCACTTTTGCTAATAAACGAAAATATACAAATTTTAAAAAGTAAACGCGGATGTCTAGATCATACTTAATCAGATGTTTAAGGGTACCGTTGTAAACAGGACATGCTACTCTCTCTATGGAGCTACTAGCCTCGGGCAGCCGTAGTATATTTGAATTTCCGAGCCGGGTCAACCTTTCCGGTCCCAGTTTGTTCTGTACCTATCTCTATGGACAGGACTAGCCGGTGCAACAAGGTTGACGCGGTCAGACTTTATGCTTCATATAGGCTGAATATACTTTTACTAAAAGGGCAGAGGTGCGTGTAACTTGAAATAACCTTTACATTCTCTTGAAAGAAGGAGGGTACCGGCCGTATGTGAATGAGGTATGGTCCTCTATAAATGAAGGAGGGTACCGGCCGTATGTGAATGAGGTATGGTCCTCTAGAAATGAAGGAGGGTACCGGCCGTATGTGAATGAGGTATGGTCCTCTATAAATGGAGGAGGGTACCGGCCGTATGTGAATGAGGTATGGTCCTCTATAAATGGAGGAGGGTACCGGCCGTATGTGAATGAGGTATGGTCCTCTAGAAATGAAGGAGGGTACCGGCCGTATGTGAATGAGGTATGGTCCTCTAGAAATGGAGGAGGACCCTAAATTACAACGACTTCCCTCTTAAACGGAAAAATGTTTTTAAAAATAGCATTTGGAAAAATATATGAATAATACTTCACAATGTGCACAATTATTTGTGCATACATACATTTTTCAAGAGACTTCTATGCTCCAGACAAATCCGGTTAAATCAATTAATATTTCGAAAATTCTTTTCAAATCGACCTCTTTTACCGTACAGGGGTTAAAAACAATAATTTGCACGTTTAAGATAACTATCATTCTAGGAGGAGGGAGGGAGGGCACTGCCCCTAAACATCTTGTTAAGCCTCTTATGCTTACCACCGGAGCACTGTAAATTGTATTGCAGTCTATCTCACTAACCATAATGTTCCAGTATCTAGAAAGATTAATAAATTTGTTAATTATATTTTTAGATGATTTCAAAAAGAGAAATAGAAAATTGTAATGTTTTCTTAATTGTATTATTTGTAAATTTTTTGACAAAACAATTTTTTTAAAGGATTTTTTAATTATATTTTGTTCGACTAACCTTTTATAAGCTGAATATGTCGCGGCATTGAAAGCCATGGTCATCGTAGCAAAATTCGGGTTGGCAGCAGGAGAGCCCATATCAATATAAACTAAATATAAAGTAAGTGAGTAATATTATACAAAATTAAGTGTTTCAAAAGAAAAAATTTTAAAACCTCCAAAGTTAGAGGTTGTTGGAATATTTCCCCTCAATTCAAAAAAAGGAAATTAAAAAGGAAAGTTACTTATATACAGGATTAGTGGTTTATACATGATCCCATATTCAAGAAAGGCTAAATATATAATTTGGAAGATTTTGTCACTTTGTTCCTACCATGAAGGAAATTATCTGTTTATTTATAAAGAAAGGAATTGAGTTTTCGCCACAAACTCAAATCTTCTGATGCCAATATATTTGCAACCTGATGGTGCAAACCTTTGATATTTCAAACTTAGATTATTTTATCTATAAGTATTAATAGTTTGAAATATCAAAGGTCTACAAAAATATAGAGATTAGAAAATCAGAGTTTGTGGCAAAAACTCAAATTCTTTGGCCTAACCTGCTTTATCCGTCTGAGAAATTTTATTTTGGTCCAAAAGTACATAGTTTAAAAATGCATATTTTAGGTTAAATCGGATTAAGTTTACATTTTAAAGGGAGTGTTCGCGAAAAATGAAAAGGGGTATAGGCTTAATGCGATAAAAAAGCGCTTTTGATCGCTTCTAATCTTACTTCCATCTGTTGCGGTTATATAAGGAGAAAATTGTTAAAAACGACTAATACCGAAGAACGTAGTGTTCATACAAATTCAGAAAGATGCAACATACGACTTAGACCGTAAAAAATCTATTTCATTTCAAACAAATCATTCAGATATTACAAGATTTTATTTTTTTAAATTATATTTAGCCTGCAACTTGTTTTCGAACATTCCTGGAAAATATGACAATGTCGTCTTCATTACCAAAAATCCTCGAAACAGGAATAAATGTTTTTACAAGTAAAAGTAACTCTCATATCATAAAAATTAAAACATATTATGAAAAATCAACTATATACAAATGTGGCGAAAGATAATCGATGACCATAGGGTGTAATATTTGAATGATTTGTTTGAAATTAAATTGATTTTTTTTACTGTCTAAGCCTCCAACAAAATTCAATTTTTATTAAATTTTGAAAATCCACGAAAATTATTTATATGAAATCTGCAAACTTTTTGTTTTGTTTCAACTTACTGTGAGATCCTGGATTGTATCCACAGAGTGCAAACCCATCAGTTTTAGCACCTAAATAATTCTGAAGTTAAAATATCGAAAAAAGTCTATTTTAAATTTTAATATTTGAATGAAAAAAACATCAAAGTATCATACAACTATTTGATTCTTTGCCACAATCCAAAATTTTTTTATCCCTATATCTTTGCAAACCTGATGGTGTAAACGTTTGATATTTCAAACTTAGATTATTTGATCTGACAGAGTTCATAGTTTGAAATATAAAGTCTACGACACTAGGTTGCATAGATATAGGCATTTGAAAATCTGAGTTTGTGTCAAAAACTCCTTTGTATCCAGAATGGTAATCACATTTAATGTTTTCAGAAAATGGTCTTCTTTGTTTAAAATTTGACTTTTTGTATGCAACAATTTTCATTGCATCCTGCATGAGGATCAGCTCTGCAAGGAAATGTCATTTAATGCGCCTTCGGGCTCATTATTTAATCTCTGTGGTGTTTACATCATTGCTACATTGTTTAAGTTCCTGTTTAAATTATTTTGTTGATGTTTTTTGCTTTACTAATCTAAATAATATTTTTTGCAAAAACTGTAGATATATTATCATCAGAAACATAATTTAAGAATATTTTACTTCAAGTATCATTTATATTTCTAAAGTATAAGCAATGATAATAAAACAAGTAGTAATCAATGTTTGGTTGTCCGATCATAACTTAGGAACCCTCCATGAACTATTTGCCTCATAGTTTGATTGGGGAACTCGTGAGAACAACGAGACTGTTCCTAGCAAGGTTTTCTAAAATGGGTGGGTCGAAATAGCTAAAATCGTAATTTAAGCCCAAATGCGGGTAAACGGCGAGAGAAACTATGAGAACCTGGGCAATGCTGGGTTCCCAAGCCAGTATTTTATAATTTGAAGGTGCTCTGACCTGCAGGGGTGAAAGTTACCAGATCAGTATTTCCTGAGCATCTCTAAAAACAATTTTGATAATTTGTCATCTTTTAGCAGTTCGCACACTTTCTTCAATATACACTATACAGGTTTGATATGTACATCTTATAAATCACATATACAGATTTAATGCTATACAATACAATACATTACAATACAATACAATACAATACAATACTTTGTCAAGTGTAAAGAATATTCTTCCTAGTAATATTAAACTAACCATTTACAATTCTTTATTTCAATCATTTATAGAATATGGAATTTCAGCCTGGGGAAATACAATACAATACAATAAAATACAATACAACACAATACAATACAATACAATACAATACACTACAATACAATACTATAATTATCTGCTTACTTTTTGGTTACCATCTATGGGGGGCCCAAGATCAAATGCATCAAAATCCAGCCGAATCTAAAACATATTTTTACAACATGATATTTTGATATGAACACTAGAACAATAAAAATGCGAGATGATTATTTAAAAAAATTGAAGTGATAAAAAAATAATTTAAACATTTTTGTAAGGTATTTATAGATAATGAAAATCTACTGTTTTCTGGTAACCATATCTATATAACTGTATCTATATGCTAAATAGTAATTCCAATTTTTTCCATTCATTTTTGAAGAAACAACCAAAGCAGTCTACATTTTGGAAATCCCAACCCCAAATATTTAAAAATTCGTCACTAACTTTTATATTAAGCTAAACTCTAACAGGTAGAGGAAAAAAATGACAAAACCATTAACAAAAAACGTTAAAAAATGATCAAAAAAAGTCTGCTGCACCTGGCATACATCGCTGGAAGTGCGGTAGAATTTGTAGGTACAGGTTGTAGCCGCACTAAAATACAAACATTCACGTTAATCAGGAATTATTCTTATCTTCGCGCAGAACCTGATGGTATATAATTTTTTATAATTCTAACTTTCTATCAATGGATCCATGGCATCAGGTTGCAAAAATGAAGTGGAAAGGGATTGAGTATTTGCCACAAACTCGGATTTTTTAATCGCTGTATCATTGCGACCCAATGTCATAGACCTTAGATATCAAACTATGAATCCTGATGATCTAATAATGTAAGGTTGAAATACCATCAGGTTGCAAAGATATAGGAATTAGAACATTTGAGTTTGTGGCTAAGACTCAACTCCTTAACCAGTTCCTTTAAAACGTTTTCTTGGGAGTTTATTTCAGATGATTTCCTTGGTAAAATATCATTTTTTACAACTATGATGTTTTTATTTTTAAATGTCTCCATAGCGTTCTAGTCCAATTGCGCAATTTTTTTAGGTTTTATATTATCATATTTATAGCGGTCCACCGCCCTGTGTTTAACTTATTGATAATTAATTGGTTGTGGAAAAATATCAGCAAAAACTACGTTTTTTCAAAATGTTTTACGTGGTTCATTTGTCCAATGTTTAAAACAATTTTCGAATCTAAATTCGACATGAAAGCTCAAAGAAAATGTTAAGTGATTCGAAGGGGTGATTGAAAGTAACTTAAAAATAAGAATTTGGACTTTCAACCTTAATTCAACCCTACTAATTTTTGTAGCCCAGGATTGAATATTCTAAAACTGCCAAGGAATTGATTCTCTAGTTTCAGTTTTGAAAGGAAGTATTTTCAAACTTTTGGTGAATTCCGAGATCAGACAATTTTTTTCCTTCGAAGAATTATATTAATATTAATAATAATTATATTATTCCGTAGTCAGAACACTTAGCAAGCACTTATCATTTTAAAAGTTAACAAAGTGAATATCAAGATCAAGTAGTGTTGCTTGGCGAGACATTACTGGTTAATGGCTTTTCAATAGTAGACGGTACAGTACAGTACAGTACAGAAGAGTACAGTACAGTACAGTACAGTACAGTACAGTACAGTACAGTACAGTAAAGTACAGTACAGTGCAGTACAGTACAGTAAAGTACAGTACAGAGTGCTGTTGACCCACCTAATCGAGTATGAAGATGGATATCCTGGGTTCTGAAGATAAGTCTGATTGTGTGTCACAGTTCCTCCACATGTATTCATAGAATCTAAACATTATTCAAGGTTTAAAATAAACAAACAAACAAAATGGTTCCGTTGTGAATCCTACATGCAACTCTATAAATTTAAATCACATGGATATTACGCCGATGGTCCCTGTATTACGATGTCGTTAGTAATCTTTTTTGAAATTCGTCTTTGATCATTGAGTTTATTTGGAACATTCAGTCCTAAACCTTCTTTTACATGTATGATTCTTGAAAAGCAACAAAATGATCCTTTTCCTGGGATTTTCAAAATGTGGTTGCCTATCCTGTTCTTTTAATATTGCCGCAGGTATTGAGAATTTCGTTCAGATATCAATTTTATGAAATAAAACAAAAATTGTCGAAATATGAACAATATTCTTTATATCTGCGGTAAATAAGGCAACCACATTTTGGAAATGCCTGAACTGAAATATGACAATTAATTCTCCAATTTCACTTCTAAAATTTGGTTTACGAATAAAATGTCGCAAATTATTTCAAAGGCCAAAGACAACCTCAATTCGTCTTGCTACTGTCATGTTTGGTGTTACTGTATGAATGTATTTGCATCCTTTCGTCGTTTCCATATTGTATCTTTCAAAATCTTCTTTTCGTGCTTTCTATATTATATTAAGAATGATTTCTGTAAAAAATCGACAATTTCATGGTTTTACTTTAATACATTGAAATCTGAACTTATTCTGATATTTTTCATTATGTCCTTTCTCAGATCCATCAAACCGATTATTTTTCATTAAAGTAGCCGCACAATGCAGGTAAAGGAAAGTAGTATTTGCCACAAACTCAAATTTACTAATCCCTGTTTCTTTGCAACCTTAATGTGTAATACAGTTGGAAATATCTGAGGTCTACGACAGTAAGATGAGGAGAGAAAATGCCAATGATAAAATTGACAATCTGTTCACATATATCCAGACTGCTATGAAAAGTTGTATCAATTTTCAACATTAAGTCGTCTTTGAAGTGTCGTAACACCTTTCCTCACTTTCTTATTTCATCTTTTTTATAGCCTGAGACAAGAACATTTTAGAATTTTTAAAGCAGTTGTTTTTAACTTTAGTATTTTTTATGGAATTGAACTCAAAGATTTTTGAGTGAGAGCTGAAAACTTTTGGATCACTGTGTGTTACATGTTTTATCGGACACATTGTATTTAGAAAATCTAATGATTAAGAGTGAGAATTGAGAATCACAAAAACGTGTAAACCATATAATCACTAAACCTGCACGTGTATGATTAATTTTCCTTATTTATCAAGTTGTGCCATATGTTCAAAGCGGTCGAGTGATACTCCGGCCCTCTCACGCACACTAAAGGTTTTTGTTTGTTTTGTTGTAATCTTTTTTTTGAAGAGTTTTTCCTCTCAAACGCTAATTTTACATTTATAGAATTAATCAATTCCCATTTTTTTGTTCTTAATTAAAAAGGTTTCAATTTATTTAACTTTGAAATCATTGTAAACTATGACAGGAGGCGGAGGTCAAATTTTTTCGAAATTACTGACGCAACTTTGTGACCTTGTAGCTCCTTCGGTAAAGATTTTAGTACAAGTATTAGAATAGAACTTATTTGGACACAAATATGAAATTTTAAACATTTTTGTCTTTCTCAATATCATTTTAACATAGATAAAGATAGATTGCGCAAGACTACATTTTTCATCTTGAAATTTATAAATGTACAGAGATGTTTTAAAGATATTCCTATTATATTGATTATATAGATTGAGTACTTGTGGTGTACATAAGTTCTGCAAAAAGAAATTTAAGTTAGTTTAGTCCTTCTCATGTCCTTCTTCAATTCTCGTCAATATGATATATTGCTCAGTGAAATAGTTTGATATTCTCAAAATAAATTCACTCCTGATTGGTTTAATAATTATGAAATCCATCAAAACACCAAACCACCCCGCTTATCATTGAAGTACACTTTGACCCCTAGAAGTATGAGTTAGCGGACTGTACAATTCTTGGTGATTTTGCATACATAAGCCATCTATGTTTATGTATGCATTTTAATTAGAGGAATAATAATTGAAAACATAAAAGAGTTCAATCTACGTGAAATATGAAATATATGCTGTAGCAGTGGCGCGGTGCTGTACTAAGACAAATCTGAGAGGCTCATGGGGGCAGAGGTATCCCTTCCATGTTTAAATTATTAGTCTCTCATATTCTGTTCAGTCAACCACAACGCATGAAATTGTTTAATTTGTAATTATATATTAGAAAGTTTTGATATTCTTCAGAAATATAACACGGAAATATAACACGGAAATATAACACGGAAAACTTAAGTATTTTATATTTCAGAATAAATTCAACTATACGCACATTCTTTTAGAGCCATGGATTAATTCCAATATAAATCTGAAATGTTTAGATTCGTTTCTCACTCATGGGTGTGCAACCCGTAGTAAAATATTTATTCATCCGATTGAAGATTAAAGAATACTTTATAAATTTTTCAGCAAAATTATAACACGATATTGATTTCCTGATATTAACATGGCACCCTGGTTTCAGGATTGGGCTTGCAATGTAACAGAGTTAAATTTTACATATCTTCTCATTTAGCTAAATGGAGATATCTAAATTGAATTAAATTGACTTCGCTACACTCGAGATGCTTGAGGACCCATCTAGGTCTGGGGAAGCCTTGGGAATTTAATACCGAATATTTAATGCATTCCTATTGCCTCCCAATGAAAAAGAGAGAAAAAAAAATACAGTTTTAGCATATTAGGAAAAATTGGGTACATATCGGCGACGACAATTCGTTTTAAAAAACATGAAGAATCCCTTTAACTTACAAAAACAGCAAGCTCCGAATCCCTGAGCACATGTTCCCTGGATAGAACCCCCGGATCCACTGCATTCACTAAATAGTAAATATATACATATATGGAGAAAAAAGATGAAAAAATTGAAGAAAAAAATTGACACTTCAAAAAAATTCGTTTTTTGAAAAAAAAAACTTTGAAATTTTTAGCCTATGTTACCCATGGTAACATAGGCTAAAAATTAATCTTTTTGAACTGCACCACTGCTGTGTCTCATGCTCATAGGACTTTTTAAAGTTGTTACTTTATTCTAAAAGTCGTCTTCATATTGGCAAGTTTTCTGGTTGTCACTATATATTGCACAAACATACAGTGAAAACCACTTTATAATAAAATAACACTAATAATAATAATAATTATTTGTTTTAGTTATAAATAATAATGCTAATAATACTACTACTAATAATAATAATACTAACCTGCTAGAGATACAGGTTCCATTCAGATTATTTTTCGACCCCCTGCAGGGCAGATTGGGAAAGTTTACAATACTAAAAAGGCCTGAAAAGCAGAATTTTTGTTTTATATATTTCACATATTTTTAAGGGTGAAATGGGGGGGGTATAAGTAAAATATTCCCACGTTGAATTATACTTTTCAATTTTAAATGCATATCCAAAAAAAACAAATTATTACAGAGGAAAGGCGAACAAATTTTGTTTAAAGGGAGTGACCGGCTATGTAAGATAGTTGAACTAAGTATGCAGTGTGGTGGAAAACTTCTTTAGGGTTCATTTTAGACATATTAAACGTTTTAAAGATCTGTAAATCCTGAGTGTGAGCGCAAATTAGACGTTCAAAACTCCTACTTTGGGGGAGGATACGTATTCAGAATTAGTTTTTTTAAATCATTAAATAACGACGAAATAAAATGTGAAAAAAATTCTACAGTAAACAAATTAGTTGTTTAGGAACAGGTTAAGAAATAAAAATTAATCTTATCATCGAAAATAAGTAATCTTGTTCAATTATTTGTTTCTATTTTCTTATTATTCTGGTTTCTCATTATTCAAAGATTTTTCGCGGATTTTCTGGAATTATTATTGAAAAGACGACATGTAAGAATTGTAGAAATCTGCCAATAAATTCAAAGAAAATAAGAAATTCAATATAATGATGAAAACAAAATAATTGATTCTAGCATTGATTTATTGACAAATTTCTTTTGAGAAATAAGTTCATAACCAACTAATGAGATTACTGTATAATTTTTACTTTATTTTTCGTCGTCGTTATCTAATAATTAAAAAAAAACTAATTCTGAAAACGTATCCACCCTCAAAGTAGAAGTTTTGAACGTCGAATTTGCGCTAAAACTGAAGATTTACAGATCTTTAAAGGTGAAATATGTCTCAAATGAATCCGAAAGAAGTTTACCACAACACTGCATACTCAGTTCAACTACCTTACATAGCCGGTCACTCCCTTTAATGAGTTAAATTGTCACAAACTGTTGGAAAAGAGACCGAATTAACTGTTAAACCCCTTAAATCTTATGAGAGGATTTCGTCATTTTCATGTCAAAAACCACAATATTCAACTCCCTTCTTATATTTTCCAAAATTATGAGAAATCAAAAATTTAAAGAGTAAAGAGGAAAACAGGATCAAGATGAAGCAAAATCTGCAATCTTCAAATATTATTGGTTAAAAAAAATACCTTGTTTCGGAGTTCTAATCAATGTTTGATTGTTGTTGCCCTCTACTGTGCTCAGAGCAGAAACCAGCAAACAAACAATTATCAATCTTTTCATCTTAATAACAATGATATTTTAAGAAATAAAAAACATTAAATATATCGATAATTTATTAGCAAGTTGGTTTAAATAAAGCTTTGAAAATAATTTTTCGAAAGATTTTTTTCATGATTTTTGAAAGGTGTTTTTAAAACTTGGCAAAAGAATTAATTTTACGAACATTTATTATCAAGTAAAAAGCCAGAAACTCAAGGAAGACCAGAAACTGAAGGAAGATAAATCAGAAACTCAAGGAAGATGCACCGGAAACTCAAGGAAGATACACCAGAAACTCAAGGAAGATACAACAGAAGGTCATGGAAGATAAATCAGAAACTCAAGGAAGATACATCAGAAACTCAAGGAAGATACACCAGAAACTCAAGGAAGATACACCAGGAACTCATGGAAGACCAGAAACTCAAAGAAGACCAGAAACTAAAGGAAGATAAACCAGAAACTGAAGGAAGATACAACAGAATATCAAGGAAGATACGCCAGAAACTGAAGGAAGATACACAAGAAATTAAAGGAAGATACACCAGAAACTCAAGGAAGACACACCTGCAGACACTCATGGAAGACCAGAAACTCGAGGAAGATACACCAGAAACTCAAGAAAGATACACCAGAAACTTAAGGAAGATACACCAGAAACTCATGGAAGACCAGAAACTCAAGGAAGACCAGAAACTAAAGGAAGATACACCAGAAACTGAAGGAAGATACAACAGAATCTCAAGGAAGATACGCCAGAAACTGAAGGAAGATACACAAGAAATTAAAGGAAGATACACCAGAAACTCAAGGAAGATACACCTGCAGATACTTATGGAAGAAAGGAAGATAGACCAGAAACTGAAGGAAAATACACCAGAAACTCCTGCATAGACAACAGTATACTTATTTGTAAACAAAGATAATACAATCACCTTATTCTCCTTTGCTTGCCGGAGATAAACTGATGTTTATTTACAGACAAACCAATCAATCAACCAACCAACCAATCAATCAACCAACCGTGAAATTGACCAGCTTTGAAAGGAAAATTAACATACGGTTTCATTAAATTTTACATCAAATTATGAAAAATTACAATTTATATGAACACATAAATCTAAATTTTGTAGAATTATAGTTTTCACAACAAATGTGAAATGAATGTTAAGCGCGGGGAAATATCTGATTCTCTTTATGTACCCCTTATTTTCTCGCAATTTATTTAAGAAATGGATATTATGTAAAAAGTTTATTTAATCTTAATATATGCTTAATCAGCAGACATGAAGATCAATGCTTGATCTCTGCAGGAGACATGAAGATCAATGCTTGATCTCTGCAGGCTCACTGCTTGATCTCTGCAGGAGACATGAAGATCAATGCTTGATCTCTGCAGGAGACATGAAGCTCACTGCTTGATCTCTGCAGGAGACATGAAGATCAATGCTTGATCTCTGCAGGAGACATGAAGATCAATGCTTGATCTCTGCAGCAGAAATGAAGATAACTGCTTGATCTCTGCAGCAGACATGAAGATCAATGCTTGATCTCTGCAGGAGACATGAAGATCAATGCTTGATCTCTGCAGAAAACATGAAGATCAATGCTTGATCTCTGCAGCAGACATGAAGATCAATGCTTGATCTCTGCAGCAGACATGAAGATCAATGCTTGATTCCAAGATTAACAAATCACAAAAAAAAGTTTTAACTTTTGGGCTTTTTGTCTAGAACAGATGAAACTACAATTTCGATTTGTACAGGGAGTAAAAACGGTATTATCTTATAGATTTGTACAAGGAGTAAAAACGGTATTATCGTATAGATTTTGGACAAAAGATTGAAAATTTTAATGCCCAAAATCCGTAGCAAACAAAAATTTAGAAACTTTGTCCATGGCGGGTACCGCTTCTATTTGCGTATAAAATCTAGAAAGTTTGCACTGAAGATAAGTCTCCCACATTAATCAAAATTAAGACATAAATCATCATTAAAGGGACTGATTTCAAGTGACCCTCCATGCAAAGGTGGCAATGTCCGATTCACATTGGTACCGAAATCTTTGTCTGATCAATTATGAATTAGATATCAACTTGAAAATTTTTTAAAACTGATTATTTTCAATTGTGGTTTCCCCAATAATGACTTACAGGGACTGTAAAAGGAAAATGGAAGGCCGGGGTTTATGCTGGAACCTATTAACTTCAGGAAGGAGTTGATCGAGGCCTATAAGGGCCGGTTCTGTCTGATGTTCTTGTCTCGAGAAATTGATATAAAATTATGTTAAAGTTATACCAAAAAAGTGACCAGAACTTCCACCAATTGCAGTGCAGTTTCACGAAGTTCTTAGGTTTTAGTCAATACCCCTTTTATTTTTTATTAAATACTTTTAAACCTAGAAGAGTCGACAATATATTCCACATTATTGATCAAATAAAGGGTTGAAGGGCACCGTTGTGAATCAGACGTTACGATCTTGGCAATATACAGATTCACTTGAAATTACGGTTTGGGGTCATTTCATTGATTGGACATTTCATAATTAAGACATTTCATAGATAGGACATTTCATAGATAGAACATTTCATAGACAGGACATTTCATAGATAAGACATTTCATAGATAAGACATTTCATAGATAGGACATTTCATAGATAGGACATTTCATAGATAGGACATTTCATAGACAGGACATTTCATAGATAGGACATTTCTTAGATAGGACATTTCATAGAGAGGACATTTCATAGACAGGACATTTCATAGCTAGGACATTTCATAGATAAGACATTTCATAGATAGGACATTTCATAGACAGGACATTTCATAGCTAGGAAATTTCATAGATAAGACATTTCATGGATAGGACATTTCATAGAAGACATTTCAAAGATACAAATCATAGATAGGACATTTCATAGAATTTTGTCACTTTTCTTTACTCGTCTTTACTGCATTAATTGCTTTTACAGAAATGCCGCAGTTCAAAAATTGCGATTTGTGAATGTCATGTTTGATATAAGGTTAACAGTTACTCTATAATTTACAAATAAATGATAAAGATAATATCGACTAAATAAATCTGGGAAACACTGAAGTTCAACAAAAGATTATAAATAAACAATTAAAAAATGATACTACTGTATCCTAGACTCATGAAAGCCGGAGCTCTCGTGGCGGATCTTCCACCGTTCATTCGTCCTGATCAAGATCACTCTTGTGATCCTTCGTAATTACTGATCCATATTCCGTCTTTAGCCCACTCCCTGCAGCTCCTGCATTATTCATGGCCTGGATTTCAAGCTGGTGTGCATCCCGTATTGGATGAATTAAATCTCTTATTCCTGGTGTTAACGGTGGATTGCTTTTCCACGAGGATAAATATACATACATGATACAGATGAGGAGACCTGTAATCCGTCCCACTGCTCCCTACATGATATTGATGAGGAGACCTGTAATCCGTCCCACTGCTCCCTACATGATATTGATGAGGAGACCTGTAATTCGTCCCACTGCTCCCTACATGATACAGATGAGGAGACCTGTAATCTGTCCCACTGCTCCCTACATGATACAGATGAGGAGACCTGTAATCCGTCCCACTGCTCCCTACATGATATTGATAAGGAGACCTGTAATCCGTCCCACTGCTCCCTACATGATACAGATGAGGAGACCTGTAATCCGTCCCACTGCTCCCAACATGATATTGATGAGAAGACTCGTCATCTGTCCTACTGTTAATGTTTCCTACAGTTTATGTAAAAGTAAGCTTTTTCTTCATGCTTACAATAATTCAATTAATCGTTACGATCAAATATTTTCTACTTTGCAAATAGGTATTCATTTTATTACTTTTTTGGATTTTTATTCCGAGGATAATAGTTTAAATAATCAAAAACAATCATCACAAAAAAATTATCAATTTGTTCAAAATATGTACTCTTATGCATGATCATAAAATACGTGAAATTAAATATTTGTTAAATTCTACTTTGAATCTCTGTCTCTCTGAATTTTTATATCTTTGAAATTTGTATCTCTGTATTTTCGAACCTCTATACCTCTTTATCTCCGTAAATATCTCTTTATCTCTGTCTCTGCATTTGCAAACTTGTTTATCTATTTATCTCACTTATCCCTGCAATTTTTGAATCCCTGTATCTTTGCATTTCTGTATCTTCAAATCTCTGTATCTTTGAATCTCTGTAACTCTGTGTTTTCAAACCTCTAAATCTCTTTCACTCCGTATCTAACTTTGTATTTCTGTGTCTCTGCATTTTCAAACCTGTGTATGTACTATGTAGTTAACTCCGTAACTTTGTATTATTGTATCTCTGTATCTCTGTATCTCATTATTATCTCTAGCTCCATTCTATTCCAAACCTCGTTGTGAATTATCTTTTACTTTAACCATATTCATACTAAGGGGGTCATTATGTCATGTGATCCCCCCCCCCCCACGTTTATTTTGGGTAGTCAGTCGGTATAGGGTTAAGGTGTGGCGATGCATCAACAGAGAAAGGGTCGAGGGGTAGGCAGCAACGGAAAGTGTAGCAAATATTACGAAATTCTTTGTTTTTATATCAAAAAAAGTTAGTACACAAAGTTAGTTGCCTACAAAATATGAGCCTTTAATGACGACCAGATATTCTTAAGATATGACAATCTGAAATCTGAATTTTGGGATGTGCACTCATTATAAACTGACTAATTCGACAATTAAAAATACAAGGTTATGCAAGGAACCATAAATGTAAGAAAAGTTTCATACTTTATGAGTAACCCTGTAGATCAGGTTTCTGGAGCCAGTTCTGTAAGCTTGATCTCGATATCCACTGTGGGGTGTTTTAATGCGGACTATCGAGTATTAAGATTAAATTAACTAACAACTTAACTATGAAGTATTCTCTTTAGAAGGCTAAAAATTTTCTCTCCTTGTATTAACAATGAATTTAGACAAATCCTTAGTCTTTGTCATTGTCAGGTGTTACTTTTTAAACGTAGTTTCCTTTTAATTTTGTATTTTCCAGGGGGGGGGGGGGCAGGGCCCCGCCTGGAACTCCCAGGGGGGAAAGAGGACTACTGCCCCCCTAGGTACACCACTGTGCGGCCCCCCTCTCGTACGCCAATGATGGTAGAATCATATTTTTTTTCGGATCTTTTTACAGTTTGTGCCATGTTACATATTTATACCGCCAAAAATAAGACTTTAACGAGGACTTTTAAACTAATAATTATTTTTTCAAATTTCATTTTTTATGGAAAACACTGTATTCAGATAAAGATAATCAAACAAATATCCCCCTCCCCCCGTGATTTCACCTGCACAACATGAACCTATGGAAAACTGCAGTTACAAAGAATGCGCAGTTTTCACAGAACGCATCCCGGAATATGAAAGCGTGAACTAATGCATTTTCCTCTCACAGTTAGAGATCATCATCGAAAATGTTTTAATACATAATCATAATATTCCCCGTTTTTTTTTACTTTCTTTGTGATGCATTTGATATCAGAAAAATTAAAACCGACTTTCAAGTCGTCTCTCAATTTTGAAGATAAAAAGGTAGACCACATTTTGAAAATCTCAGGCGTATTGTTTAAGTTGGAATACTGAAATAATTGTGTTCATGAAAATGCCGCATTGTCGAAGATGATATGAAAGTTGTCACTGAATGTTTATTGGGACACCTTGTACATTAACTTCCATTATACTACAGTATATTAAAGATTACGCAGTATACACTTTACGCATCAGCTGGAATTTGAAAGCATAAAATAATGCATTTTATCTCACAATTAAAATGTTTCAATTATGATTATTTTTGTTTCCTATTTCTCGCATGAGTTAAACAGTACGTATTAAATAATTACTAAATATTTTATGAAACTATTGTGTACTTTATTCATAGAGAATAGAATATATATTAGAGTGGAATTTGCTAGAAAAAAGTGTAAAACGGCCATTTTGTTGTACTGTTTCCATACTGCAGGTGTACTTCACATATTTGTGCTACATAACCTTTTGGGCCCTGGAATATCATTTTATAGAAAATCTAAAATTAATATTAAAAGAAACCCAAATTATG